CCCGCCCCGGGCCCTCACCCTCTCCCGGAGCTCCCTCCGCCGCTCTCCCTCCGCGCGGCCCCGCTCCTGCTCGAACTCGAAGCGGGTGGTTTTGCTGAGAACCGCCACTCGGCCCGGCCGAAACGGGGCCGTCGCCCGGGACAGGGCCCGGCCGTTTCTCCGCAACAACAGCGCAGCCGGCCCGCCCCAGCGGAGCCCGCTCAGAGCCATGGGCCAGGCCGGATCCTGCAGCCTTACTCCCAGACTCAAGCCCACGGCCTCCCCTTGCACTAGGCCGCGGACCACACCGCGCATGCGCTCGCGCTGACCCCTGCCGAGAGCATGCTGGGAAATGTAGTCCTGCTCTTAAAGAGACAGGCCACCCACCCACTCTGTCACTCTCACCTCACCTCTGGAATTCATCTCTTTTGTCCATGTTTGAACCAAGGCCGTAATGAGGTCAGGAGCTGAGTGGCCCTGGCGGAACCCAAACTGGGCGTCACTGAGCAGGTTGTTGCTGAGCAGATGCTGCTTGATAGCGCTGTTACTGACACCTTCCATCACTTTCCTGATGATCGAGAGGAGACTGATGGGACGGTAATTGGCCGGGTTGGATTTGTCCTGCTTTTTATGTACAGGACATACTTGGGCAATTTTCCACATTGCTGGGTAGATACCAGTGTTGTAACTGTACTGGAACAGCTTCTTGTTTATTCATTAACAGGATGAGGGTGTCGCTGACTAGGCAGTATTTATTTCCCATCCCTAATTGGCTAGCGGGCAGTTCAGAGTCAACCACACTGCTGTGGGTCTGGAGTCACATGTAGGCTAGATCAGGTAAAGATGGCAGTTTCCTTCCCCAAAGGACATTAGCGAACCAGATGGGTTTTTCCAACAATTGACAATGGATTCACAGTCATCATTAGACTCTTAATTCCAGATTTTTATTGAATTCAAATTACTTGATATCACGTGGAATGAATTGAATTGGCTGAAGACTGGTGTCTGTGATGCTGGGGACCACTGGGGGAGGCCAAGGTGGATCATCCATTCGGCACTTCTGTCTGAAGATTTCTGCAAATGCTTCAACTTTATCTTTTGCACTGATGTGCTGGGTTCTGCGGATTCATTGAGGATGGAGATATTTGTGGAGCCTCCTCTTCCAGTGAATTGTTTAATTGTCCATCACCGTTCATGACTCGATGTGGCAGGACTGCAGGGTCTAGATCTGATGCGTTGGCTGTGGAAGCACTTAGCTCTGTCTATCAGAGATAGTAGGAACTGCAGATGCTGGAGAATCTGAGATAACAAGGTGTAGAGCTGGATGAACACAGCAGGTCAAGCAGCATCATAGGAGCAGGAAGGCTGACGTTTCGGGCCTCGACCCTTCTTTTGTTCATCCAGCTCTGCACCTTAGCTCTATCGCTTGCTGCTTTCATTTTTTGATACACAAGTAGTTTCACCAGGTTGACACCTCATCTTCAGGTATGCTTGGTGCTGCTCCTGCCATGCCCCCCTGCACTCTCCATTGAACCAGGGATGATCCCTGGCTTGATG